GCAAGATTGGTTCATTTCAACATTAATGCCAGTTATGATAGTTATGCCATTGCAGCTGATACTATTAAGAGCTATCCCCATTAGAAATGCATTGAAAATGCTTTATGTCTAATCTAATTTAGCTCGCTTTTGGGTGCTGTTTCTCAGTCTGTGCACTTTTTCTTCCGTTTAATAATTATCTCCATTCAGTGAAATCATCAGTGATTTTCATGATGGAGAGTCTCTCAAGTATTGTAAAATGCTTTAATTTTGCAAATCAGTGAAGATTTCACTTTGTTTCTTGAAATTTTACCCTCAGCAAACCTATTAAATCATCAAATCGCAAAAAATTTCTAGCACCAAAAATGAAAAAGTAAATCAGATTATACTGAAAATCAGGTTTGCTCAAGCTATAAGCATGTAACAAGATGATTCCTATCTCTGAAATTTCCTGTTAGTCATTCCATTTCTCTAAATGGTGATTTTGGATTGTCTTGGAAAGTTGCACCCACATTTTTTGAAGGAATAGTTTAATGATGTGTAGGGAGATGAATCTTGACAATGGTACAAGGGGTTAAATTATACGGTCACTTAACAAGTCGATCAAGCACAATGTATTGAAGGATGATTGGTTTGTGTAAAGTCAACTATCAAGTAGCTTGGTCTTTATCCAATTTGCAGTGTACGTGTTGACTTTTAGGGAAAGGGAATGTAGCTCTGAATAATTACTTAAATGTGAATCTACCGTTGTTGTGAACTGAATGCTATATAAGCAGGAATTTTATAATAAATAAACTGAACCCTATGTATTTGAACCCTTGTAAATTGGAATCCTGCCTAAACCAAACAATTTGTAAACTGAATGCTATATAAACTAAAATCCTGTCTTAAACACAATCTTTTGTCAACTGAACACTATGTTAATTACAATTTTTTTTTATACTGAACACTATGTAAACTGGAATTCTTTGTATACTGAACACTATGTAAACTGGAATTCTTTGTATACTGAACACTATGTAAACTGGAATTCTTTGTATACTGAACACTATGTAAACTGGAATTCTTTGTATACTGAACACTATGTGAACTGGAATTCTTTGTATACTGAACACTATGTAAACTGGAATTCTTTGTATACTGAACACTATGTAAACTGAAATTCTTTGTATACTGAACACTGTGTAAACTGGAATTCTTTGTATACTGAACACTATGTAAACTGGAATTCTTTGTATACTGAACACTATGTAAACTGGAATTCTTTGTATACTAAACACTATGTAAACTGGAATGTTTTGTATACTGAACACTTTAAACTGGAATTCTTTGTATACTGAACACTATGTTAACTGGAATTCTTTGTATACTAAACACTATGTAAACTGGAATTCTATGTATACTGAACACTATGTAAACTGGAATTCTTTGTATATTGAACACAATGTAAACTGGAATTCTTTGTATACTGAACACTATGTAAACTGGAACCTTTTGTAAACTGAATACAATATAAGTTAAAACCTGTCTAACCTGACTTCTATGTAAACCAGAACCTGTCTAAACTGAATCCGATA